CTCACAGAATACCAGCGAAAAATAGCAGCTTGACACTGCTGTGTTTCGTATGGTGAGTATAGAGAACCCTTTTTACTGGAAAAGAGACATTCCATCTTAGTCCTCACGGGTGACAACGCATCTGCATTTTGATTCGCAAACGAGGATAGATGTAGATGTCTACGGGCCACAGCAACCACTTACCATCAGGTGGACTTTGTGCTCGTATGTCACCGTAATTCTATAAAAAAAACCTGTATCCATCGACTTCCCGTATATCTTACCAGGTCGTCACTCCATCTAGTGGTGGGACGCCCTACACGAAGTCAAAGTCAAGTCAAAGTAAAATAAATAAAAATCAGACCTTTGTGGGTTTTGGAGCCATTTCCATTCTTCTGAGACAGTCAGGTGATAACCAGAATATAAAAATTGTTTATTTATTATCAGTTTCGAATGTAGTGTGGTATAGCCCCCATGACTATATATACATATATATATATATATATATATATATATATATATATATATATATATATATATATATATATATATATATATATTAGTGTTAAGAATAGAGAACAGTATAATTAAAGTTATAGAAGCATCAACACGCCTATTCCATTGACACATTACCTTACACGAATTTCTTTAATGTAATGAGGTTAATAATTCATTGGTGCAATCGCTGAGAATGTAACAGGAAATTTATTATCACTGGAAACCTTGATATTTCGTTACATCATGATGTTTACGCGGGTCTATGGCTTCGTAATGCCTTCCTTACATACCGCAACTATTTGTGTCAGGTCTGGAAGATTTCCATGTACTACAGTTGTTACATTATTGATTTTTAACTTCACTACCACATAAATGGATCTCTCTTGAGTAACCAAACGGTAGAGGTGGTAGAGTTTAATTTTATAGAATAACGGTTAATAAGCGAGCACACAGTCCACCTGATGGTAAGTGGTTGCTGTGGCCCATAGACATCTACATCTATGCACATGCACAAAATGCAGATGTGCTGTCAGCCGTGAGGACTAAAATGAAATGCCTCTTTTCCAGTAAAAAGGGCGCCTGGTTTGCCCACTCTTCTATTAAAAAAAATCAAAAGATCTTTATCGTTTACCAAACAAGTAAGACTTGATGACCTCGGTGGCTCCTTGTTATCAGCGTACTTACTTTCTGCCAAGTTGTAGATCATCGGGTTCGAATATTAAGTTAATATTGTAGCTTGTTTAGCGAAAATATTGTTTGTTGTATTTCGATTCTTTACGTGTCTATGACATTGTCTATGACATTGTATTCAAGCTTGCTTATCGCAATCAAGAACCATGGTAGATCAGTGGCGAAGCATCTTGTCAAAAACGCCTCCATGGCTCTCAAAAGCCGCATTTGATTAGAAAGTTTTTACTTTGATAGACTTTGAAAAGTTTAGCACTGAACATAGGCCTCATAGACTGCCTCATAGGGGAAATAGTTTTCCGTATTCAAATACAAAAACAAAATATTTACTGCATATAGTTTTTGTTCTAAAATATCTCATCCATACATAACATAAAAAAGTCCACTCTGCTGAATGAAGTCATTGTTTAACACACCTTGCACACTATCATTCGTAACATGAAATAGCGTAACAAGAAAAGCACAGTTTAAAAGAGTTACTGATGTAGGAATATAAATCGACCTTAGTCAATTTCTGATGTCCTAGTACATTTTGCAGGCAATTCACGTGTTCTGTTAAAATCTTTTTTTAAATCGGGGTTCTTCTTAATTATTTTTTTTTAAATTCTAGGTTACACATACCTGGCCAACCTACGCTTTATCATATATACAAGCAATCCGCCCCACTCTCGCACGGTTGATTTCTGGACAAAAACGCCACCTAACCGGCTCCAATTGTGAATTTAATCCATACCCTATCAAATAAAAACCACACACAAAATTTCATGAAAATCGGTCCAGCTGTTTAGGAGGAGTTCAGTCACATCATCAGGAAGATGCTGCTGCCCGTGTCTCCAATTTCTCTTAAGAATGCGACTCTTAATTTCTGATATAAATAATTGATTATTGTTTAGTTTAGAAGTGTCTGTTTGTAATGTCAAAAATAAGGTTTTTACTAAATGCATATGAAAGTATATACGACTTATAAGATAAACACAATTTTTAAAATTTTTGTCTGTTTGTTCCGGCTAATCTCCGAAATGGCTGAACCCATTTTGACCGATTATCACTGGCTGATAGCTGATGTTATAAGAAGTAACTTAGGCTACAATTATTTTAAAAAAATAATTAGGGTTCCGCACGAAAAAGATAAAACCATAAATTACACGCGGGCAAAGTCGCGGTAGTGTTAAAATAAAAAGTATAAAACGTAAAAAAAAACACGAGGTGTAATTTAGTAAAATACCCTCTTTATTTTATATCTTAAAAAAGCAATAGGAATCTTTAAATACCTACATAAAAATTAACAAATAATTGAAATATGTAAAAAAAAAAAAAACTGAGTGGTACAAAACCAATTAACAAATAGGTATCAGGTAATACAAATTAATCCCTTTAATCTTTTATGGGATTGCTTTCAGAAAAAGGGTAATTTTCTATGAGAGCTTGGGTTGGCAAAGGTTGGCGTGCGCACAGTCGTTAACGTTGTGAAGCGAGGATTTTTATTTCAGATGGTACCTTACTTAAAAAGATATTAGAAATCAGGATATTTTCAATTGTAATTGATGATGTTTCTCCACCCACTTTCAACCGTGACGACATTGTTAGTATTATAGTAGTTATAGCTTCTAATTATTATAGTAGCTTCTTATTATAGTAGTTATAGCTTCTAATAAGCTCAGAGGGCTATTTGAATTCTATTAAGACACGAAGAATTCTTTTTAACTTTTTTGTGTGTTTGTTAGTTGGTCTGTCCGTCCGGGCTAATCTTCGGATCTTCTGTCATAATGTCATATACTTAATTTGACCGTCTATTATCACACATTAACAACATTTTTATACACCAATCAACTGGAGCCCGTTTTTGTTCAGGGGTGAGTTCATGAGGAATCTAGCGGCAACAAAGTTTATATTTTAAGTGTTGATGTATTTTTTTTTTAATTTGACTTATACGAATACCCGACTCTCCAGATATGTGATGCTCCGGTTGTCTTCAATTAGTCACCTGACAGTAGCCACATTTTTCCACTGTTCGCAATTGTGTGTCTGCCATGTCAGATGTTCGTAATAACTGATTACTTTTAAATAGTTGAAGTGACAAACGATTACGGTCCATCTGTTGGTAAGAGCTATTGCATTTAATGGACCCTTGCAGTCAATTTCAAATAAAGAATGCTTGATGAGTTGTCACCACTGGGGACTAAGATTGAATGCTTCACAGCATGGAATTATACTAACACAGTGTAATCAATGCCAGTTATCGGTAGAAACAGGTAAAAGATTGAAACCTACTGGTAGTCGGAAACTTAGGCAGAAATGGAGTCTTACTAACTAGTGGATTTTTGTAAAAGTACCCAATATTGTGTACTCTTATTACCTTCTGTTACCCTAGCTTCAATCTTCTTCTTTCTCTTTCATGAGCTTGTAAAAGTTTACTACTGAACATGGGCCACTACCGTTGTACCGTTGTGTTGGTTTCCCTACGTGATAAAATTAGAAATGAGGATATCCGCAGCATAATCAGACCCGACTAGGACCACAGAATACCACCGTGAAATAGCCGCTTAATGGTGCTATGTTTCCTATGGTGTGTGTAAAGAACCGGGGACCCTTTTTACTGGAAGTGTCATTCCATCTTAGTCCTCAGCAGAAACACATCTGCATTTTGATTCTTAATCAAGGATAGACATAGATGTCTATGGGCTACAACATCCACTTACCATCAGGTGGACTGTGTGCTCGTTTGTTTCCCTTATACTATAAAAATGTGAGGTGAATGAAACATCGCTAAATTCCTAACTCTACTACTGAGAATTTATTGACAGAAGAACCCAATAACTGATTTTTACCCGCCCCGGGATTCAAATCCTCCTCATGATCATTAACCACGTTTACGACCAGACCAACGAGGCAGTCATATACTAAGTAATACATTAACATTATACTAAATAATAATGAGCCGTGGTAGCTTAGTGGCTAAGCGACCGCTGTAAATTTCACAGTACGCGACACATGAGTAAAGAAACCGACCAGAGGGGAAGCTACGTACAAACGTCTCGCTGCGGGTACACCCACACATAGCGCAGCGATGTGTGCGTGAGCTCTCACCGATAGGTTCACCGACGCTCCGTCAGGGTACAAACCGGTTTGCGCCGGCTCAGTCAGAGTGTGAATGAAAGGGCTGTTGGTCACGCGCATTGAAATAAATAGACGAATAATATTTTGTGATTTTATAGATCAATAACTTTATTATTAAAAAAAAATCCAGTAAAGTTTAGAGATATCAAATAAGACATTATAGATTTATATATATTTATATTAGATAATTAGCGTTCGTATAAGCTATGTTGTACAGTATGTATGAAAATTCGAGAGAAAATAATACAATAGCCAGACAGTGGTGCAGTTAGTCTTAGTTGTAGTAGTGCTGGTGATGGTGATGGTGGACGGTGGTGCTGATCGTGCGGTGTTGGTAGCGGTGGATGGTGATGCTGTACGTGCTGGTAATGGTGTCAGTGATTGCTTTGGTGCTGGTAGTATTATTGGTGGTGGTGGTGGACAGGGGACCGCCACTGCAACCACCACCACGACCAGCATCACCACCACAGCCCTTACTACCGTCACTATCATCCTGGTAGTAGCATTGGTGGTGGTGGTGTATCAACACCGCCACTGCCCACTACCATCATCACATTCATTACTAATACCATCTGATTTTTTGTACTCATGGATACGTTGTATTATGAAAATTATATTGATAGAAATATAGATGTGTATATGTAATGTGAAGCTAAGCATAAAAATAAGCAAAATATACAATTTTTGCAGTTTCAATTTAATTACAAATAACAGACATATTGAAAAGGGCGCACCTACAGCATCAGCTCCCTAATCAGATCCCTTATCTAAAAAAATCCAATCAAACTGGGATAAGTCTGTCACAGACGTTCTACCCAGAAACACCAAGTTGGGTTCGGGGGGTCAACAAGGTGGTCATTAACCTCGTGAAGGAGTATCACAAGAGAGCGCCTGAGGTCCCTTTCTCAAAAGAAAAGGTCAGACGACGAGGATTACGGGTCTCCTTGTAGAGGTCCCGGTCCCGACGTCTCGTTTATGTGATTCTTCTTATAGTTGTTTATATATATTGTTTAGAGGTGTTAGTGAAGGATCCCTCGGGAATAAAACAGCAATTGTCTTCAAACTGCTCCACAAGAGTGCAATTACTTTCCCTATCACTTCCCTATATGTTTTCTTTTTTGATTATATACATTACTGGTAGCTAGTCCCGAACGAATTACATGAAAACCAGTTTAATAAGGTACTTCAACGCTATACTCAAAAGAGAGCCGCGCCCTCTATGCGATTTCACAACACAATTACGTTAAACTTTTACTATTGCACCCTCACGGTTTGCCCACTATCTTTATTGGTATAAGACATACATTTTTACAATTTACTCATAATGACAGCACAACAAATTCTCTGTACTATGATATACATTGCATTTTAATATCACAAAAAGCTTTTTATTTAAAACAAAATATGCCTATTTTATAACATATGCACTAAGTTAGAATTCTTAAATATCTAACATATAAGGTTGGAACAATGTTCTTTAATTGAAAGTACAAATATCTTAACTAATACATACAATAGTTTAAAAAATTTTATACATACTTTTACCTTTAAAACACTTTTAAATATTTATACATGAAATCAATACAGAATTCACCTTTTTTGCTTACACAGTCATCCTGAAACATTTATGAGTCAATTTTACATAAATTACTGAAATTTGCAAACAATTAAATTTCCATCTATTAGGCCTCCTAAATTACAAATCAACGCACGGCTATTAACTCGCGCTATGTGCACAACCAATTTTTACACGACTCTCGTCAACTCGGTAGGAGCTAAACAAGCTTTGTTAATAATTAGGAATACTTCGAAAAATCAACTTAACTGCACTACATAGTACTAAAATCGACTAAAATATTCACACTTTTGACCTTTTAATATTTGATTGACTGATGAAAAGCTATCGAATCAGAGCGCCATCTATGCAAACAAGGCTGCAGTTTTTGAGTTATAAGAAAGTGACCATATTAACTGAATGACCACTCGGTAGACGGCTAGTGAAATCCTTGGTCAGATAGCAACTATCTCTGCTCGTTATGAAACACCAAGGTTCACAAACACTATCCTTATCAGTCACAAAGTTTTTTATCTGATAACACAAACAAAACTATTTTCATGTATTAAACATCGAAAATAAGTATTTATTTTTATACAAAATTTGCATTTATTTTACACAGATAATTACTATGCAATACACAACTTTACATTAATCTCAAAAAGACAAAAAGTGATCGTTGCGACCGGGGATTGAACCCTGGTTTCTAAACATTACTAAAATTGTTAAGAAAACAACGAAAAGTAATTCAACCAGGGAATCGAACCCGGAATCATAAATCATGTCTTAAAAATTCCCTCTATGAATTTATTGCTAAGAAAACGACAAAAAGTAGATCGACCTCGGAATCCAACCCGGGACTTTTTAATTATTAATTCGGTATTTCTTTAAACTTTTACTAAGCGTTTTCTTTTTCTTATAAGATAATTATTGCTTGATAATTTATCTTTAGAAGCTATTCGTAATTGGTAAACTAATAAATTGAAATATTATTTATAGGCGCGTCGCCAACACATGTTACTATATTAACTTAAGTTGCAATGAATACACATGTTATTTTATACTATATAATATTTTTATTTTTTCCTTAAAATTTTCACATGCATCAGGTGCTAACCCTATCAGAATAGGTATAGATTTTCGACGTTGTTAGAAAACTTCCCCTCTGGTCTTCTTTACTCTGTGGTACGCGAACAACCCGGGTCCGATCCCCGCCGGTACCAATGAAATTGTTAATTGCAATTTTAAGTGCTGATTTACCACGCGCTCGGCGGTGAAGGAAACAACGTGACGAAACTTGCATGTCTGGGGCATCGCGGCGGAAATTAAAACCCTTAAAACCTTAAAACCCTTTTAGAAATAAAAGGAGTCCTGTGCCCAGCATTGGGAGGTATATAGACTTTATCTTTAACTAATTTACTTACATATAATAAGTACATTATTAGTTGGCCATTGCCAAATACCTTGCTAAACGTGGCAACTATGATAATCCCTACTATGAGCAAATCTATAGGGGTGGATTTGTGTTAGGCTGTATATTGAAAGAAAAAAAAAACATTATTAACCACCTTGCACAACATAATAGATACTGCCCATAGAATTATTGCGTAATAATTCTATGATACTGCCAGACACTGCACACAAAGGAATATAAATCGACCTTACTTTTGTTAGTTTCTGATGTCCTAGTACATGTTGGATGCAATTCACGTGTTCTACGAAATTTTAAAAAATCATTTTACTTTTTTCTTTAGTGCTTTTAATTTGTCGGCGCCGGGTGTTTTGCATAAATTCCTTTATTTTTTTTTTTGCGAAAAGAATAAATGTTAAAGCGGCCCAATTAGTGAGGCGGGATAATAGTCTTAATAAGAGAATTCGGAAATTCCTTCTGTTTGTTATGCAAGATTTCTTTTTAAATTTCACTGCTTAGATGTCTGTTCTTAGAGTGATTTCAGGGTCTCTTAACATTTTAAATTCTGGGTTATCTGGCCAACCCACACGTTCTCATAACACACTGTTCCATTCCCATCTTGTGTATTTTTTAATCTGATTTAACCCCAAACCCCAGATGCCACAAAATGGTCATTGATTTTGTGAGCTTGACTTAGACCTAAAATAAATTGATCTAAAAATGTTAACTTTGGCACTGCTGAAGTAAGAATATTTATGTTTAGAACTATTTTCCGCCTGCATGAAATTATATGGCACTTGAAATGATGTATCACAACTTTTTGTAACTGTTAGCCAGAAAATGGGACTTCTGACATATTCTGATTAAATAAAATACTTATGATATACCATGGACGTAGAAAAAACCTTTTTTAATACGTCCATGTCCACGTCCTATACATAATATGTAGTTCGTGTGAACGTATGTTGTGCATTTTTCACTGTAGACAACTTTATTATACTCGTATCTTCTTAATTAATTTGTCTATGTTTGCATGAGATGTGGTGAGGGTTTTTGTGTCTAAAGCTTTAAAGTAGATCCTTAAATGTGATTTTGAACACCTGTTCGGCCACCAATTATTTACTTTATGATATGAAAATTCTAGGAATTGACCATGAACTATATGTACTTCCCCAAAATCATGAAGCTCTAGTACATTCATCGAGAGGCTCACGTGTTCGCTATTCGAAACTATTTTTTAAAAAGCTCGAACGTCTGAAGAGCTAGCCAGCGATTCGATGCCGGGACTTCACGATCAGAAATCGCGTTTACGATAACTAGACTAACGAGGCAGTAATATACTAACATTTAATAACTAATTTATCTCCGATTATACTTATTATTGCCAAACCGCTTGACAATCGTGGCAACTATGACAATCCCTCCTATGAGCAAGTCTATAGTTGAGGACTATGTTGGGGGGTGGATTTGTGGTAAGCTGTATGTATATTGAATGAAAATAAAACATTAATAATATCTTGCACAACATAATACATAATAGACGCGGAATATACACCGAGCTTATTTTTGTCACTTTCTGATGTCAATTACATACATTCCGCAGACAATTCACGTGTTTTGCGAAAAAAATAATAAACTGTCTTTTTTTTTAATTTTAGGTTACCTGGCCAACTCACGCGTTCTCACAACACGCTGTTCCATTCCCGTCTTGTGTTTTTTTATCTGATTTAACCCCAATTCCATATAATCAAAGTCTGAGGAGCTTCTTTACCGTCATTGATTTTGTGAGCTTGCCTTAGGCGTCAATAAATCGATATAAAAATTTAACTTAGCGAATGTCGTGCATCTTTCTCTGAGACAACTACTGGTACCTCTTTATTCATTTAGTAGCGTGGGGGATTTTGTGTTTAAAGCTTTAAATTAAATGCTTAAATGTGATTTTGATTATCTGTTCGATTCCCATTGGAACAATTATTTGTGTAAACATTTTCTAGATGTCAGCGGTGTACGCATATTGGTACTGTCGCCAGGTCAGAATCAGTGATACAGGTATCTATGCCTGTAGCAAATATCCCCTATTAGGATAGGCCAATGTCCAGGAATTGACTGTGATAATATGAACTATTTACAAATATGTACTTCCCCAAAATTATGAAGCTCTAAGTACATTAGTCGAGAGGCTCACGTGTTCGCTACTGTTTGTTTATTTGAAACAAATTTTTACCCCTAGATATCGTGCCCCCCCATTTTCCGATTATTATCGATTTTTTTTTTGTGAGATACTTGTGTGTCTCACAATAAAAATCGGTAACAGTTTTCAAGTCTATTTATTTGGAAATGAATAAAAAAATATTACTTCAATATGTGTGCAAATGTGCGTGAGCGTGTGCATGTGTGTCTGTATGTGCGTCTGTGTGTGCGTGCGCGTGTGCGTGCGCGTGTCTATGTACGTGTGCGTTGGCGTGTGCGTGTGTGTGAGTGTCGCGCACGAGCGTGAGTGTGTGCGTGTGCGTATGTGTTTGCGTACGTGCGTGCGTGCATGCGTGCGTGCGTGTTTCTCTGTTTTCGATTTTTTTTCAGAATTTCAAAACTTCCGTATAGTGTATGAGATTTTAACTAGCATTGTATTTATAAAGATATTGTTATTTTTATGAAGAAGCTGTTTTCAGCCGAATTCAAAACAGGATAAGGTTCTTAATTCAACTGTATTTTTCGTTTTGTACGCGTAGAAAAAGATCATAGACATTACTCTATGATTATTATTTATTAAGGATTGTCCCATTAAATTGAATTCATCCAATTCTCCTTAGGGTGCATAATAGAAGATGAAGTTTTTAATGTAAATACATAAACGATATCCTAGTTGTAACTTAGTCCACAACAATCAAATATAGTCCAAACAATCAAATAATCAAACTTAAAAGAAAGTAAATCCGTATTAAAAAATCTAAAAGAAAAAAATAATTTTCACATTAATTTATGATTTCTGAAATTGGTGCTAAGATTTAGTGTGTCAAAGCTTCGACTTAAGCTAACAATTAAATCGTGTGGAAGTTAGATGTATTTTTTAAAAGTTTATCATTACAAACCAAATCTTTTTTCTGATCTGATTTTGGACCAATTCTTTTTGACCAGTTAAGATTAAACTTTGTTAACTCGCTTCGAAAACTAAAAGTAAATTATTATGTCATTATTTAATCTATCTATATATTACTCGTATATAAAAATAAATTGCCGCGCAAAAAGTCGAAAATGGCTCAACCGATTATGATTGTGTGTTTGATTGGGTTCTTTGGATGATTTAGGTTTATAATTGTACCTAATAAATTACGTAATATATATAATTGTAGGTGGCGCTGTTGTCGAAATCCAGAAATCACCCGTGCGAAAATGGGGCGGCTCGCTATCGTAATTAAAAGCTTGACACGAAATTATAAGATATTATATATGGTACTACAATCTTTATATAATTAAGCATTTATCTCGCGAAAAATCTTTTATATCGCGTAAAATATCTAGTATAGTAATTTATGTAATTTTTGCTGATGTAAATATCTATCTCATAATTTAACTTTTTTTCTTGGTTTGTAATTATTTATTTTTATTTTATATAGTTTTTTTACAAACACACTGGAAACAAGTTAGATCCTTTCTTTCGCTTTTTGATGTCCTAGTACTTTGGTCACTCAAACACGTGTTTCGTGTAGGCGTAATTTTTCGATAGTTTTTTCATCGATCTGTTTTTGTTACTGTTATGGACAGGAAGTAACTGTGCTCGTAATAATGAAATAATGAAATATAACTTTATTATAAGATCATTAAAATTAATTAGTATATAATTATAATTACTATATATATATATATATATATATATATATATATATATATATATATATATATATATATATATAAAGCTGCAGATATATCACAGTATCGAGAAATAATTTATTCTGTATATTGTCACCATCTATGCAAATAAATAAAATTGAAGTAAAAAAAAACTGTAATGTCAAAATTTACAGCTTTACTAAACGCATATGAATGTATGTACTTACGAGTATAACAAAATTCGAGTTAAAATATTTATTTAAGTCTAACACCTAACAAACAACCCTCTGAGTTTAATAGAAGTCAGTTATTTCAATATTAGATAAACAATTCAATTTTATTTATATGTAAATAAAAATAAAAACAGATAATTAAAAATGTTGTCGATGTTCCATGATGTAAGTCGATTTCTTTCTCTTCTCTTCATACGAATTCACCTCGCCATTCTCTCCGTCAGAACATACAGAACACAGATAATTATTGCGCAACGTAATTTTCGCTGATTTCTGATGTCCTGGTATATTACATAGAAGAGCACGTGATAGATGAAGGTTTCCGTCATCAACCGATGTTCCTCCCCTCCTATTTTTGTTATTATTACAAAAATATGGTTTTAACATCAATAAATTTTTACTTGTTATTTCATATTTCGGCAATTGCATGGCGTAGCATGGCTAGCTGACGCCTAGGGCTACTAGGGCCAAAATTTCTCTCTACCCCTCTCCCTTTCATTTTCAAAGTATCTTAAAGATATAACCAGTAAAAGTTGAGCGCGGTGTAAGTAGTAAGAATATCCATTACCCCATATTGTCCCGTGGGTTTCGTCATATGAGGCGACAGAGGGAAACTAAAACAAAAAATGGGAGCAACATCTCCCTGATAACAACTCTAAATAATTAAAAAAACTTCGGTTGCCATCTTGCTTGCCAAGCGTGGCGACAGCAAAATCCCAATCAATGGAGGAGGTCTAGGTTTAGAAGTGGACTTTTATTGTCTGTAATGGTAATGATAATGGTATTCAGTATTACAGTTAGTTTACAGATTTTAGATTTTACTGGCGTCATTTAAAAAGATAAGGTTTCTGGCGTTCATGCCCAAAATGCCGACCCTTAAAAACGGCCGAACGGGAACATGATACCCTTGCTTCACCACTGAAGGATTTATCCATAATATAAATAAGTGATTCCTCATTCGTCAAAACCTAGGTTTTTATTGTGGATTAAAATAAAATAAAATTTATTTACATTTTTAATTCTTTTTTATTAAATCTGTTATTCTGTTTTAAGTTGTCATTGGAATAATTATTGCATTTTTCAACAGGTGCAGGAATTGGGTACAAATCCATTCAATTCTCTCCGCTTTCTGATTTCCTAGTATGTTTGTCGTATCAGCACGTGTTTATTGAAAATAAATTAAAAAAAACCTTTAAGAGACTGGTCATTTATTAAAGAACTGTCAAAGTTGGTTGTAAAAAGCAAAGTGTAACAAAAATAAATTATTTTTTAAATTGTTATTTTTCTCTGACTATAGGATGGACTCAGAGTTCGAACTCAATTTGGGAGCCAATATTATTTTCAAACTATTAAAGATCATATATATATTATTTTATTGAGCGGATGTAGGCGAAGTAATTTTGACCAATTTAATTAATACATACGAGGGGCACACTGAACTGATCGGGAATAAGAAAAACCACATGCACGATATAGCTAAATTGTATTTTATTGTTTTTAAAAATATTTTCCGTTCAACTTAAAGCACTTTTCCATTCGTGCAAACCAATCATTAAAACAGTAATTCCAGTCTGAAGTTGATGTTGACAAAATGGTTGATTTGTACGCTTCCACAGCTGCTTCGGGATCTTCAAACCGTTGACCGCGTAATAAATCTTTCATTCTAGGGAATGTAAAGAAATCGTTTGGGCTCAGGTCAGGACTGTACGGAGAATGGTTCATCAGCTCAACGTTTTCCTGCTTCAATAAATCATTTGTCTTCCGAGCCGTATGGGAGCTCGCATTATCATGATGTAAGATGATGCGACGTTTCGGGTTATTTTTTCGAAGTTCGGTTTTGCCTCGTATAATGGATTTTCGCAAAGTAACGCCTGATTCTATTAATTATTATTATTTTCAAACGTTTTTTTAGATTTGGACAAAATATCCCAGTGCCTTTGAAATATCACCCTAATCTTCCTTCTGTTCAAGCACTTCTTTGTTTTATCTGATCTCATTTAATGATTCTTCTTTTATTAAAAATGTTTTAACTTCAGGGATGGCTAAAAATTGCACCTCTCTCTTTTAATATAACTATTTAGACGGTATTCTGTTTCACCTTGAACATGTGATATTTCCTAGTCCAATCAAAAGGGGAAAAAGTAAACTTTATGAAAGAAATAAAACACCATATATTTAACGCAGTAAATAAACCGACCGATGAATACCGACTTCAATAAATAAAACCAATAATATAATCACACCGCAACCAACTTCAGAAGCTATCATGTGGAAATTTGTTTTATTCTTTTTAGGGTTTTAATGTAGCTTAAAGCTTAACGTATGACCACACTAAAGTACATGTCATGCGATTAATACTATTAGTCTGTTATATAATAGTATTTTCTCATTGGGTATATGGATAGTTTAAAAAAACTGCACATCTCTAATAATATATTTCGCTGTTTCAAAAAACCCAATAAAAGATTCCATGTCGCTTTCGTACAAAGTCTATATGCAGGTGCAAACTTTCAAATAGTTAAAAGTTCTTCTTTCTTGAAAATTCTTCCAAGTAAAATATTGGATCTGTAAACATTTTATTTCTTATTTTCGTTCTATTTAAAATATGTTTTGAAATTGTTTTAAAATTTAAATTAACTTTCCGTAATTCATTTGAGTTTTGTTTTACATACTTATAAATGGTAGATTTAAATATTAATATAGTGTTAGTCGCATACAGATATTGACCAGTCAAACCATAGAGTTGCAGACCCCATTCCCTTTTTGTTGAACGTCGGTCGGTGGAAATTCCTTAAAAGTTATAGTCCAGTAACAGATCTAGACTGAACATTTCGATAGAGCCCAGGGTTTGCTCACTGCATCCGATGCGAATCCAAGAAATGTTGATCCGTAGTAGTCGTAGTACTATTTGTTGTTTTGATGTCAGAAGTTCGTCAATAAGTCAGAGATTTCTTCGAACGAGATGACGTGAGTCGAATGTGTCCAGCTAACAGTGATTGTTTACAAACCTATGTTATTAGGAAACAAAAACGAAGTCCACCAGATGGTAAATGGATGCTGTGGTCCATAAACTTCTATATTTATCCTCAATTAAGAATCAAAATGCAGTGTAATAGTGGTGTATGGGGTCCACTATTAACAGACTTCGAGTGGTCTAGTGGCGGAGAAATGAAACTATTTTCTGATATGCCTTATCAAATGCAGTAACGTTGTCACCTCTGAGGATTAAGATGGAATGCTTCATTTTCAGTAAAAAGGGTCTCCGGTTCTCTTCAGTTCTCTACACTCACCATACGAAACACAGCAACATTAAGTTGCTATTTTACGCTGGTATTTTACTTAGAACAAATACTTTAGAATGTTGCTTGTGTGTCATGCATCAATATTTTGAATTAAAATTCACTACACTGTTACTTAATTTACCCTTCAATCCATTACTGCCTATACGAGGGGCACACTGAAATGATCGGGAATAAGAAAAACCACATGCACGGTATAGCTAAATTGTATTTTATTGTTTTTCGAAATATTTTCCGTTCAACTTAATGCACTTTTCCATTCGTGCAAACCAATCATTAAAACAGTAATTCCAGTCTGAAGTTGATGTTGACAAAATGGCTGATTTATACGATTCCACATCTGCTTTGGGGTCTTCAAACCGTTGACCGCGTAATAAATCTTTCATTCTAGGTAATATAAAGAAATCGTTTGGGCTCAGGTCAGGACTGTACGGAGGATGGCTTATCAGCTCAACGTTTTCCTGCTTCAAAAATTCATTTGTCTTCAGAGCCGTATGGGAGCTCGCATTAACGTGATGTAAGATGATGCGAAGTTTCGGGTTATTTTTTCGGAGTTCGGCTATCATTTTGGCAAACAAACCGTGATATACCACTCAGCGGTAACCGTTCTGAGTTCCTGTAAAGGAATTGTAGCAACATGTCTCTTTTTCGAGACAAACGTAGCGACCATTTTCTTTGACACGATGCGGGAGCGAACTCCTTTCGTTGGTTTGACCTCGGCTGGTTTGAACTATTATGAACGGCATTTGACTTCCTTCCGTTGAAGCGCTACAGAGTATTCCGGCACCAATCTACACGAGCCGCCTTTTGCTCTTCGGACAAATTGTGGGGAACCCAG